AGGATAAGATTTTACTAGAGGTAGATTATAATAGAAATTACTTAGCTATCTTAAAGGTAGATAATAAGCTATATTAGAAACAGAGTTATATTAATTAGTAAGCCTTAAGCTGTAGCCCCTCAGGAGATTATAGTACTAGGGGATATAGACAGGATATTTTTATCAGGGAGATTAGTATATAAGTAATTTAGGGGCTATAATATTAGAGGATATAATAGAAGAGGTTAAGGAATTCTTAGTATTATCTGGAGACTAGTATTCAGACTAGGGTACTATCTTAATTTCCTTAGCCGGAGTACTCTATTCAGTAACTTATATAGTTCCTGAAAAGGGTAATAACTTAATAGGAAGGGCTAAGGGTATACTCTCTTTTTCTGCAAAAGCTTAGTTAAACCCTATTAGTTTACTAAATAAGTAATTCTATAATAGGAAGAACTCTAGCTAGCTAAGTACCCTATACTATAGGAATATAAAAAGTATATTCCTAGGCTTATACTCTCTGTTTCTTATAGTCTGAGAAAGTATCTTTTATCTATTCTTATTATATATCTCCTCTTTAAGATTACCCTAAGTCTCTCAGCTATAGCTTTAATATTTAAAAGTTATAGCCCTATATCCAGGAAGTTTAGTTTAGTAAATAAGCTAATTTAAGTACCTTAGCCTATAACCAGAAAACAGAACACTAATAATTCGAATAGCCTTATAACCTGCTAACTAGGTAATAGAGCAAGCTTAAATAAGCCTAGTCTAAGAGAGAATTCCAACTGGAAGAACAGTCTAGAGCTAGCTGTATATACTAAGGTATTTCCTATACCTAAAGCTTAACTAAGCTCCCTCGAAATATATTTATTAATAGCTATTTTACCTTACAGAATATAGTTATACAAGGTAAAGTAATTTAACCTACTCTTAATTAATAGTTAGACTAACTTCTTAATAAGGATCTAAAGATTACACCGAGAGTAGAAATTTTCAGGGATAATAATCTATTAAAATACCCTGAAATTACAGGCCAAGCTACTATCAGTTCAACTTATTATAATCTCCTCCCTGTAGTAACTGAGATACTAACTAATATTAATTCAGATAAGCCAGAAGATTTTAATAACTATAATAATATAGGTACTAATTCAGATAGGCTAGAGGATTTTAATAACTAAGATAATATTAGTACTATTTCCAATAAGCCTAACTATTCTAAGGATATTAAGATAGAGTAAGATTCTGAAATATCAGTAAATTCTAGTTTAAAGGAGCTAGAAGAGTTTAATAATCCTACTGTTATTATCTCTAAAGATATTAAGTAGGCTATTAATAAGAAGTAAGGCCTATTAGGTACTAGATATCTTAGAGAGGAGTAGGAGTTTTTAACTCCTTTTAAGATAATATTTAAACCAGATTATAAGCTGCTAAACTGTAAAGAGCTTATATAGAAATTTAATACTAACTATAGTCTATCTAATCGGCCAGGAATAACTAGGGCTATTAAGCCTAGAGACCCTGAGAAGGAATCGATCTATCCTATTAATAAGGAAGGGTTTATAGGTTAAGAATATATTAATAGAGAGTTACAGTATAGGGTTTCCTGGCCTCCAATATAGTTATATAAATTAAAATTAGGTAAGAAGTTAATTAATAATTTTTAGTAAGAGTTTCTAGGGATTAAAGGAAATATTAAGGTCTTTAAGAATAATAAAAGGCGCCAGAATTATAAAGATAGTATAAGACAGAAGAGGAGTAAACATAATTAGATATTTATATTTATTAAGAGATATTAAATTCTAGATTAAGATTAGAAGAAAAGATAAGAAACTTGAACAGATGGGAAGTTGAAATCCTCTAGCCTATCCGAATTGGTGCCTGTATCATTATAGTTATTAAAATCTTCTGGCTCATCTGAATTGACATTAGTTGGTATCTCAGTTGCTGCAGGGAGGAGATCATGATAAGTTAAACTAATAGTAGCTTGGCCCGTAATTTCAGGGATCCTCACTCGACGAGCTGCAAGAATGCAAATAAAACTCACTGGAGCCGGGCTCAGCAAGCTCCAAGTCTCACCGAAGCCGTCCCGGGAGGCCGCAACGGAATGCCCCGGACAAACTTCCTTTACCAAGCTCCAAATCATCAACTGAGTATCCGACATCATCTTACTACATGGCTAGGCCAACGTCTTGAAAGTGGTCACTGAAGATGGTGCGACGATCTTTAGGCAGCTGATACTAGCTGATATTATACATTGAGTGGTCGAGTAGCGCGGTATATATACCGTCTTATCTCTGTCCCACCAGAGTTAATAGGTTACCTCTTGAGCGGATCTACAAGTAAGAGAGTTATTAGCTCTAGATATAAGATAGGGGAGCTTGGACAGGGATTAAACCAGCTGTAAGGAAATAAGGTGTTATTAGTTCATCCAGACTCAGCTAATAGTCTGTTTCGACCTCTAACTTATATCTGGTTTCCTTGATCAAGGGGCAGCTATACTGTTAATAATTCTCCATTATCCTAACTCCTTTGCCCGAGTTAGAAGGTGTATACGTTGGGAAGATAGTGTAAGAGCGAGGATAGGACGTTATACGTTTTATGGAGGCGGACTATTATCGTTATTATCGCTAAGCGAAGAGTATGCTGTTATCAGCTTATACAGGCTATTGAACTTTTATATACTATGAATTCCTTTGGATCGCTAATGATGTTAAATCTGCCTTGACCGTGATTGTGCAGTGGTTCTAGGTATGGCTAGATATCCTAAGCGGAGTACGATGGTGTATTACTTGCAGCAGCTAAGGCACCGTATTCTGAGCTCTGACTTGATTATGTTAGACCCAGCCTGTGATAATACCGCTCTTTCCGATTGTATCCTTGAAATATTGAAGGATGATATGGTCGCCTGCCTTAATGCTATAGCCCGATGGGGCTGATAAGGTTCGTCAGTATCAGTCGCCGTGGGATGGGAAGGAGATTTATATACGTTCCTACTATGTTATTCTCTGGCTACTGGCCGAAATGCTGGGGCTTATGAATAACTATTTCAACTTAAATGTTTTTCAAGGCTATTCGCCTATTATTGGATCGGAAGTATATGAATATACGGCGAGGGGAGTGACCAAGCTGGTCGAGCGGTAAACTCATACATGAGTTTGCTACGAATGAGATAACGTGAGAATAGAATCAAGATGTTTACTACTGTGGAGCGAATAAATCCACCAGCCGAGCTGTTTACTGTGTCTGGCTGTATACTTACATCAGTTGGCCTGGTCCCCAGGCAGTATTGAGGGTGTTAAACCTCAATACGCAGTCGGCTAAGCCCTTTAATCTCATTAACTGCATGAGGCTTATCTTGTTATATTAAGTAGTAACGATTGACCCAGGAAAGCCAGGGGAAGGAATCCGAGTGTGCCACGATTCATTTTCTGGTGGACGGCCTGAGCTCCATACCCTTAGCTACAGCAACGATGGAGGAAGAAGAAGGGAACCTGTCTATAAAAGGAGGCCCTCCCTCCGTCGTACAGTACACTGGCTTTACTTCTGTTATCAACTTTTGCACTAGACCAAGTATATTACACTCCTTTGATCCGAAATACATTAGCTCTTGGCCCAAATCCGACTATAACCCTTTTTTGAGACCCACATGATGGATTCCAAATTCCGACAATACGTACCTCCAAAGTTGAAGAGGGATCAACATGCAGTTTTTTTGCCTCAAAACCACATCCAGACCTCAAATGCGGCCGAGGAATTGGATGTCATGTGGCTTTCCCAGTGTACTGGGGGGACTGTCGGGGGGGTCACCGGTATGACTAGTTCGACTTCCCATGTCCAGGCAGATGGTGATACTGAAATTAGTGGCAAGACTGACGGTATGTACTGGTTTTATTCCAGAGCCCTAAAAGGCCAGAGCTGACAGAAGACTATAGATTATGCCATTGTTATCGATGAAGATACAAATTTGGATCAGAATATCGATGGTAGCAGGCCTCCGCAGCTGCCCGGTTTGCGGACTGAGTGCCGACACGGTGGAAGACCAGCGGAACCTCGATGAGTCTTGGGACAGGAGGCACGAAATTCGAGAAGACGGGGTGATCCGTCTTGATCATTGTCACGGACCAAGGCGCGAATCTGTTTCTTTCAGCATCACACCGGACGATGACAGCTTGGACGGATTCTGGGGCGCCGCTTGCGACTGGCTCTGCTGTAGCTGATGCACCTGATTGTGAGGCTGTTGGAATGGGGGCTTGGGGGGCAGGGACTGATGGAGGGGAGATTTCCGGTTCTGAATCCGTGTCTATGTTATCCCATTTCGAGTAATAAATATTCATGGTGGTGAATAGTTTAATGCTACTACCCGAGAAGCAATCAGATGGAATAAAAGGTAAAGGAATTTGGATGCCAAAGGTGAAAGAATAAAACATGCGACGACAGTGTCAAACTACAACGCTAACAAACGCGGGGTCAGCGCCTGTCTCAAACCGACAAAACTGGTCGCACGTAGACGCCACTAGCCGCCGTAGTCGCCTAGCAAAAGTCTCCTAAGCGCCTTACTTCTCAAGCTCTCAACTCAAGCTCCTAACTCGTTCCGAAAAGGCATTGGCGGGCCCTGGAGGGGACCGGTCTCCTGTTGATGCGCCACCATTTACGAGCCACCACCTTCGTGGGACGAGCCACATCGGAGGAGCCACAACTTCAGTTCAGTCTCTGTCGCACCCTCTGTCACACCCTCTGTCACACCCTTTGTCTCACTGAGACACACACACACTCTCTGTCTCTCTCTCTGTCTCTCTCCCCCTCTTTTCATTCCCCCCCTTTTCTTCTTGACCTCGCTGAACAGTTCCGTACGCCCTCTCGCTTCATCATGAAAAGAAGCTTGCCTCAGGACACCGGACGCGGATCCGGTCGGTTGCCGTAGTGTTCTGCTCCGCACCCAGCCCTGAATAACAGAAAGGCCACCATGGTTCTAGGGTGGCTCCAGGAGTTGCCACGAGACTGTCGCCGCCCCCGTGACGATGTGGTCTGAAACAGGGTGGCCGAGATTCCGCGTCACCCGCGACGTCGCCGGTGTCATGCCAACATCTCATCTGAGCCCTCGCCCAAGTTCCTTTTTGTGCCGAGCGTGGCCACGTTTGCTTTGGCCCTCTGCTTCCCGCTTTCAGCGCATATATTTACGACGAGATCGCTTGTACGATGCCCCGCGAAAAGTCGGTCAGGGTCCCGATCGATGAAATCCGCCGCACACTGGAAGATCTTGACGGCAGACGCACTGGAAACGGAGCTGGAGGAAGGTCGGGACCACCCTACTCGATTGTCCCAAACTCCTCGGCATACCAGAGCACCCATCGACTCCGTCAAGAGCCGGTCAGAGTTCCGCTCGACGAGATCCGAACTACGTTGGAAGACCTGGACCGCCGACACGCCGAAAGATGCACTCTACGAAGACAAGAGTCTCAAGAGACCGAGACCAGGCCCCGGAAGCAGCCGGTAAGAGTCCCGCTTGATGATATCCGCCAAAAATTGGACGATTTGGATCGACAACACACCGACACACTGGCCCGTAGGAGACGAGAATCATCCCACTCCACTACCGCTAGGCAAATATCATCTGAGACACCCACCCAGCCCTAGGAGGAGGCGACAAGAGTTCGGCCTGGCGAGGTTGCTCGTGCATGGGATGATATTCAACGCCAGCGCGCTGAAGAACGGGGCCACCGGGCGCAGGTAGTGGCCCGGCGTAATACCGTCATGGTGCCAGAAGATGAACTCAGGCGCACAATGGCGGCCATCACACAACGACACGCGGAAGAGCGTTGGCGTGAAAGAACGGCAAGACTACGACCACAACATGAGACTGGCCAGTTCGGCCGTCGAAGATCGGAAGAGGTGCGCCGCAGACAATTACCGACGACTCCGGAGCGAACCTCCAGCTCTCCAAGAATCCCGAATCCCCAAGCGATCCCGCAGGCTCAACAGACCCCGCCTACCCGAAAGCGCCTTCGGGAGCCACAACCAGAAGGATTTCTGACTCCGCCGCCCACGGGGCCAGAGGGACCAGACCGGCCCCGGAAAAGAATGAGACCGTCGCGAGAAACCGCCCTACTCCAACGAGAGTCCCTCGACACCATTCTGCGATATCATGAATCTCGTTTCCGCGACAAAGAGAGGGAATCGGAGGCAAGATCTTGGTGCGAAGAGGTTCCACTTACCCTCCAGGTAGAGACTGCACAGTCCTTCTACCAGGCGTTTACAGATGAGAGGACGCTGCCGATCTCGCACTGTAACTTTTGCTACACGAAGCAGCCCCCTTCCGAGCTCATAAAGATCCGATGGAGGAGGCACTTGACGCCCTCCTTGCTACAGGCCACTGCAGTACTCCAGGAGTGCAGGGACTGTTTCTCTGCCGATGACGACGCTGATGCTATGGTTTGCCACGAATGCTATGTCCCTTTGAAGAGGGGGAAACTGCCGAAGACCTGTGCGGTTAACAATATGTACATCGGATGTGAGCATCGGTATCCCGAAGAGCTCGACGGCCTGTCTCCCGTCGAGGAGAGGCTGATTGCTTTGCAGGCCTCCTTCGGCTACATTATAAAGTTCACCGTCAACAACAAGACCCCGTCGGGGCTCAGCTACCGGAAGCACGTGAAGGGCCATATCGTCGTCTTTCCAAACAAGGTCGAAGACCTCGTTGCCACAGTCCTCCCTCACCCTCTTCTCGTTACCATTGAGAACATCCACGTCTCTTGGAGTGGCTCCAGCAAGCCTGGCGCTGCAGACGTTGGGAGTCTTCTCCGAGTGCGTAAGTCCCACGTTCGAGCTGCGCTTTTGTGGCTCCAGGAAAACAATCCGCTTTACGAGCACGTCACGATCGACCATGGTGAGATAGATGGCTGGCGGTACGCAGACGGCTCGGATGTACCTGTCCTCATCATGGACAGTATGCAGCGGGAAGAGCCGTCTGTTGCCGAGAAGACACAGACAGACCACATAGTCCCAGATACCGATCGAGGTTTGGAGGAGAACCGTTTCACGACCATTGAGGAGATTGTTGCGTCGGCGCAGGCTCACTCATCCAGCGACGATCCCAGCCTCCTTGGTGGCACTCTTCCAAACGAAAAAGACCTTCCCCTACCCAGGGATCCCTATGCCTCCGTTCCAGGATCGGAGTTTGTCGACGACGATGGTGACGTTATTTTTGAGACGACGTCATCCGGAACGTTTCCCCTTGATGGACCAGCGGCTTTCGAAGAGGCCGATAAGCTTTCATTCCTAACCGACGCTATCCAGGCGAGTCGGACTCAAGGTGCCGATAAGGCTGAGCCCTACGCCATGCACGTCCAAGGAACCGCAGGGCATCCGTTCATCCTGGTGGAACGAGGTGCAGATTTTGCGGACAGCCTGCACGGGGACTTCTTCCCGCGCACCTTCCCAAAGCTCTTCCCCTGGGGGAGAGGTGGCCCGAAGGCGCTGCACGTGTCGGACCGCGAGCAACAGCAAGCTCCAGAACTCGCCGAGCGCCATTCAAACCACTCGCTCAGCTACTGGGCCAGATACGTCCTTCAGCGACATGGAGGGCGGTTTGCCACCCACCCCGTCTTTTGTTTTCTAGTCTTCAACATCCTACTCCGATCGTCCAATCGACGCATCAGCATGGTGCGCACCACAAAGGGCTCTTTCGAGAGGGTTGAGCGGGTTTACGCAACACTGACGGAGGACCGGCTCAAAAGAGCTGAGGACGAGATGCGAGGAACAAGAGCGACGACGGATGCAGATGTGGCATTCTTGCTCCGCGAGCTATCCATCTTTGGTCATGCACAGCCGCTCTCCAACGAAACGCGGCTACTTATGCGCAGAAGGATACAAGCGATTGACATCTGGGCCGGTACACCCGCGATTTGGATCACCATCAATCCCAACGACATCAACAACCCAGTCAAGATGAGGCTCTCCATCCACAGACTCCACGATTACCACACGGCGAAAGAGCTTTTAGCGGATCTCCGGGGAAGATACGACAGGATCGCCCTTAGTACTATAGATCCGGTCAGCTCAGCTGTCTTCTTCCACAGAGAAATTTCTCTGTTCTTCGAGAAATACATCAGAACGGGCCAGCAATCTGTCTTTAGGAAGGTCAGCCATTATTATGCAACGGTGGAGACGAACGATCGCAGCAGCCTGCACTTGCACGGGCTCCTGTGGTTACATGGCAACATAGAGCTGCCGTCGCTCGTTGATAATATCACCGACCCTAGAGAAGAAGAGCACCTTGCCCGAGTAGTACGCTACATGGACTCGGTCTTTCACGAGTGTTTGGATGAGGACACTGGGAAGGCTCTCCGCCAGGAGCGGAAGCCTATCGACTCGGTCGAGGAGATAATAAACGACACCGAGGCTCTCACTGCGGCCTTTGACGCCGAGTCTAACTTTATCGCATACTGCTGCCAGGTCCATTCCCACACCTATACTTGCATCAAGTATTCTCTGAAGGGCCTTGGAAATCACGACGCAGACAAGTACAGGCGAACGGCTTGCCGGTTCAAGGCGCCCTGGAAGATCGTTGATGCGACGGGGCTGGGCGGTGACAACCTGCTCACCATCCGTCGCAACCACCCGCTCGTCAACCGGTATAACAAAGCGATGGCGGTCGGCCTCCGCCATAACCACGATGTATCCATGATCCTGACGAGGACCAAGGGCCTAGCCATGGTATTTTATATCACCAACTATACCACGAAGCTGGACACGCCCATGTGGAGACGAATCGCCTATGCGGCCCAAGTTTTCCGACAGCTTCGGGAAGATGCTACATCGAGGTATGACTTACCCGCGACAGGCGACCAGGGTGCCCAGCGACCTGCTGCGCTGAACCAGAGTCGCTAATTTCTGATGAGGGTGGCGAATCGGATATTTTCCGAGAGACAGCTCTCCGCCGTGGAGGTATGTTACCATATGCTCGGCTACCAGACGGACTTTACCAACGTCCCGCACTGGTCCTTCCTGAACCTGACCGCACTATATTGGGCGATCTTTCGGAGATGGAGGCATCTCCGCCGCCAGGCTGGTGAGGAAACGGAGGGGGAGGAGCCGCCAGAGACGGTGCAGCTCAGGGATGGCGGCCGGACCCTGCTGTGCTTAGATGCTTACGCCTACAGAGGCCGTGTCCTGAAAGATATATGTCTTTACGATTACGTGTCCATGGTTAGTCTGGTCCGTGGCCGTGGCCGGAACGAGGACGGAAACCACATCTCTCTCGAGGGGCCCTCTCCGGAGTGCAGTGACTGGCTCCAAAAGCTCCGCCAACCTTACGAGTACGCTGTGCCGATATTCCAAGGATTCATCAGCGACGATCACCGGGACGAGCACCCGGTGTATTTCAGACGGTACGCTGCTCCTCCGCACTGGTAATTCCCAAGCTTCTGCTCACATGCTAAGTAGAAATTCGGTTCTCCATCTGGCCCTATTCGTGCCTTGGGAGCGCTTCGTTTCCGACACTCATGGCGACATCGCCGATATATGGCTAGGATATGAAGCTTCTCTCTGCCGCCGGCTGCGTTTTCACGTCTCCAACATCTCCCTTCTCAGCAAGTCAGCCGAAGACGCGCGTAAAGACGCGAGGCTCTGGGCTAGCCGGTCAGAAGGCGACGACACGGTCGACGTAGACTTCCCTCTCGATGAGGACGACGATGCTGAAGAGCGCGCAACGATCGCTGAACATCACCAGAATTTTGCGGCTGTGCTCCACACTCTGCAGAACGCCGTGCGAGACTCCGACGCCACGAGAGGCTCCCCGGTCTTAACGAATTTCATGCGCGTCTGCTGGAAGAGACTTCGGCGGAGGAGGAAAGGCCTTTCACGCAGCGTCCCGATGGCTTCTATCAGCAGATCCGCCGCGCTCAGGACGCTCCCCTATACCACGTTCAGACCCTGTCCGTGGAGGATGTCCAAGCCGCTGCGAAGGCCCAGGAGATGCTCCATCTGCAGATGCTGGACGAGATCGAGATAGGCCCACAGGGTGGCCGACATCACGCGCCCAACGACGACATAGATGATATGCTTGCCCGGCACTACGATGCGGAGATCCCCCTCCTACAGCCAAGTCGAGCCACAGTTGACCAGGGTCCACGAATGCTTATCGATGTCAACATGGCAGCTAGCTTCACGGAATTAGGATGCACCGCCGCCTCGGAGAAAACCCTCAACTCTCTGCAGACGAGGGCTCTTCAACTGGTGTGCAGGTTCTTGGACAGACACTCTGCAGATCCCGAACCGGCGGATCAGCATCTCCAGTACATCGGCGGCCTAGGCGGTACGGGCAAGTCAGGGTTGTCGAGGCCCTGAAATGGGTCTTTTCGGCGAGAGGCCAACCACATCTTCTTCAGATCACGGGTACCTCGGGGAGTGCAGCGGCACAGATCGGTGGCACGACCTTGTATTCTGCCTGTGGGCTGGATACCCGGCGCTCCCCCGACAAGCAACCCCCACTCTTCTCAGAGGCCAAGAAGTGGGTGTGGAGGTAGAAGCTGGTCCTTGTGATTGATGAAGTTAGCATGGTTGGAGGCGCTACTCTATACGAGGCCAGCTGTCGTGTCCAGTC